CTTTCTATGGATAAATATCCCAAATTAATGGTATCTAAGTGTGACATAAAGCTATCCCATGATGGATCAAGTGAATTGATAATAACACTTTTCATTGTTTGATCTGAAATCACTTCCCCCCTCAATTGTAGCTCAGCTCTTATTTTGTTTAGATTTATCAAATGCTCACTTATAGAAACCCCTGGTTTTACTCTAGAGGAAAAGAAATCCTTAGACATTCTTGTGGTTGTAGCTACGCTATCGCTGTGAAATAGATTAAACATGCATTGAATTATTTCTGATACAGTTAGGTTTGGTTTGATGCTATGATACATTGCAGGAGACACGCTAGATATTATTATGAAAAATGCTCTATGATGTAAACAATCTATTTTTAAAGTCCAAGGTCTTCTTGGAGGGCTAGTTATAAAGAATAGTAAATTTTCTTTCATGAAAATAACCTGTAGCTGTTGATACCACTCTTGTAAATTAATGCCATCAATTCTAAGTTTTGGGAAGTCACTGGGTAAGTTACCTACATTATTCTGTCCATTACTTACAACCTGGGGCAGTCCGTGATCTCTCAAGTGCAGGAAATTACAGAACGGCATTGGGATGCTTGCAATGAGTCTGCGCGGTTCTCTGGCCAGTTCAAGTCCTTCTGGGTCGTCTACGTAGTTTCGCACATGCGCGTTGCTCATTTCTTCTTTGGTGGCGTCGTGGAAGGTTCTCTCCCTTTCAGCTCTCTCGATCCGCTCCTCCTCAGATGAGTCGGTCTCTGGCTCGGTTTTTGGGGTTCTGGTGGTGGCGACGGTTCTTTTCTTCCTTTTGTGTGCGTTGGTATTCGATCTTGTCTGTGGTGTAGGGCGAAATCGGCATGGCTCTCTGGGCTCGGGCGTCGTCGCTTTCGAAGTCAGGATGGGAGCGTGCAGGTCTTGAGTCGCCGGTTTGATTTCTTGCTTCTTCGTAGATGTCTTGGTAATTTTCAGTCTTGGCCCAAAAGCAGCAAAAAGCGTTTTCATTGCTGATTTTACTTGAGATTTTGTTAAATCGTCTTCACTTTCTGATTTTGGATCATCTGAAGAGTTTGAGACTTCTTTCTCACTTTCTTCGTCTGATAGTGTTTTTCGCGCCAGAAATTTTGAACTGAGCGTTTTGATTGGCTCTGCTCCATTCTCTTTTGAAGTTCGTTGAAACCAAGATGGCTGCCATTCAAAATTTCGCGCGGGATCACATCTTTTCTTTTTAACAACTATTTTCTCAGTAGTCATCTCACTTACGGTTTTTTGATCTTTGGGTTTTTCTTTAATGACGTTTTTCTCTCTCGCTGCTCCGCTGTTCTTCAGCATCTCCTGGAGGTCCGCGATGAGACTTTCATCATTCTTTTGGCTTTTTAGTATCTTTAATATCTCTGACCTGAGTTCGTTATTTTCTATTTCGATTTCTTTCTGGTCATTATTTTCACTCATTAGTTCTTCTTCTTCAGTGGTGTATTCTTCGGATTCTCTCGAAATCGCATTGGTGGATTCGTTGATCATCTCTTGATCAGTTTCTATTTCTTTGCTGTAGGCCCTGGTGTTGGGCCTATCTTTCTTGGACATTTTTAATTACTTATTGAGTCAATGAACCATCCTCTGCTACCAGCTTGTTGCAATATTTTCAGGATCAGACTCAATAAAGATAATAGGAGTTAGAGCTTTAAATATATTTCTTTTTAATTATGATAGGCATTCTATATTCACTGAATATTCAAGGTAGAAGTGACGAGAATGGTGAGGGTGGCTCCTTATATATACAAGGGGTGGAGCTAGGAATGGGAGTGGTAAGTTATGAATACATTAAAGTCCAAAGAATAAGTTAACCTCTGATGTTCCATATATACATTATTTACACATTGGAGAATAAGGCATTTACATCTGACAGTGGGAATGGACATTTTGCAATATCCTTCCCCCAGGAGTGGGGAGGGAATGGGGATTTTGCAGTATCCTTCCCCTGCCACGCCCACCAAGCCACGCCCACAGAACCGGTAGTAAAAAAATTTGGATTTCACCACTGCAATGTGCTCCAAGAAGCTAATTCCAGGGCAGCTTGGGAAGAGAACATTTCTGCAAAAATGTCAGTGATAGTGACTGTGGACAAATTCATTATCACTGTTTTCATTTCAAATGGGCCTTCAGTATTACAGCCTCTGGTGCCTCAAAGCTTGTGAATCTCAGCAGCAAAATGGCCAGATTTGAGGGCCGTAATCCTTTCATTTTTTTCTCAAGAAATAAGGGTGAGAATCAAAGCAAGAGAACCTTGCCCTCAATTCTCTTCTCAAACCTCAAAAATGTCCAACTAAGCCAGATTTTGGAGGGAAATTTTTAGGCAGATCCTGAGGAGAAAGTTAAACGGTGGACGAGGCCATTTACCCACAGAGGCCCTTATTCATGAGCAGGAATTGTCTGGTTTAGATCATCTTCTGTAGAAAGTTAGCACCCAGCCCTCTCCTAGGAAAATGAGATATTTTAGGAAATATTAAAAGGGCAGAATATTTTCCCTAAAAGGGAGGCAGAAACTCAGTCCCACTCCACCCCCATTTGTCAATGGGCCCAGTCCATTGCTTAGGTTAGCTTGGAGCAGGGATGAAATCCAGCAGGTTTTGACAGGTTCTGAAGAACCGGTAGAAGAAATTTTGAGCAGTTCAGAAAACCGGCAAATTCCCACCCCCAGAGAACCGGCACTCTGGGGGTGGGAATGGAGATTTTGCAGTATCCTTCCCCTGGAGTGGGGTGCGAATGGAGATTTTGCAGTATCCTTCCCCTGGAGTGGGGTGCGAATGGAGATTTTGCAGTATCCTTCCCCTGCCACGCCCACCAAGCCACGCCCAGCAAGCCATACCATGCCCACCAAGTCACGCTGACAGAACCGGTACTAAAAAAAATTGGATTTCCCCATTGGCTTGGAGTCCCATCTTTGGGTACCAAATTGTTGGAAGAAATGTCCATCTGGGTTCAGTTCCAAGTGGGAAGAAAGACACTGGAAACATGGAGACGGCTTGGAAAGATGGTTTTAATGATGGACAGGATCACATGCCTTGAAGATGTTGGGTGAAGGGAGAAAAAAGGGAAGAGATGCTGAGACTGCCTGAGTTTTATACCCTCTCTGGGCTTTTGAATTTGAGCTTGTATTCTGATTGGTTGTCAGACTCCCATGGGACCATGCAGGGGTAACTTGTATGTTGTGTTTTTGAGTCCTAAGTTTGGTTGACTCTTGCTGGGTGATGATGTAATGAAAGGGCTTTGGGATTCCTATTATGGCTCTGCCTGAAGGAGAATAGATCTTTGTTATGTAGAATAGACTGGCCCAGGCTTTAATGGCCCATTGACAAACTGTGGGTGGGGGTGAATTTCTGCCAGCCTTTTAGGGGAAATATTCTGCCCTTTTAATATTTCCTAAAGTATCTCATTTTCCTAGGATAGGGGTGGGTGCTAACTTCCTACACTTCTTTATGAGAATGTGAGTCCTTTGAGGAAAGTACCCTATTGCAATAATTCATACCACAATACAATTTAATAATGATAAAACCTGCTTTCCAGGACCCATTGGGGTCCTTCAGTGGTGCTTTTGATGAGACCTACAGTCCATTTCAGCACTGAAATGACCCTGAAAGCTATCCACCTACCTTATTTCTCCACTCTCTTGCTGTGACTCAGCTTTCATTCTTGTACGGGTGACAAAAAGGCCAACTCCACATTATATAAGAAAATTATCTGGATTTTAGATGCAACGATTCTACTTCAATGATTGTGTGTTTCACTCTTTCTGTTTGATATATGTATGTTTGTGTGTGTATGTGTGTAGCGCATATTCATTGCAGTGCAAGGAACAGATGGTCCACACTTTGTTAAGCGAAAACTTGGAAAAATTCTTTTTTAATTAAAGCTATGACTCCAACATAGATGGAGGCAGTTTTGAAATTGTTTTCCTTTCTTTATCTTTATCCAAGTAAAACAGAACAAATGCTCTAAGGCTGAAAGGTATAATAGCCTCTTTATTAGTCATTGGGCATTAGAATAGAATAGAACAACAGAGTAGGAAGGGACCTTGGAGGTCTTCTAGTCCAACCCCCTGCTCAGACAAGAAACCATACACCATTTCAGACAAATGGTTATCCAATCTCTTCTTAAAAACTTCCAGTTTTGGAGCATTCACAATTTGTAGAGGCAGATTGTTCCACTGATTAATTGTTCTAACTGTCAGGAAATTTCTCCTTAGTTCTAAGTTGCTTCTCTCCTTGATTAGTTTCCACCCATTGCTTCTTGTCCTGCCCTCAGGTGCTTTGGAGAATAGCTTGACTCCCTCTTCTTTGTGGCAGCCCCTGAGATATTGGAAGACTGCTATCATGTCTCCCCTAGTCCTCTTTTTCATTAAACTAGATATACCCAGTTCCAGCAACCGTTCTTTATATGTTTTAGCCTCCAGTCCCTTAATCATCTTTCTTGCTCTTTTCTAGAGTCTCAACATCTTTTTTACATCATGGTGACCAAAACTGGATGCAGTATTCCAAGTGTGGCCTTACCAAGGCATTATAAAATGGTATTAATTACATATTAATATTCTGAATTAGTTCACTCTGTGAGATGTATTTTATCTGACTTATAAAAGTTACTCTCTCCGAACTGAAATTCTGACTAGACAATTAGCTTCTTCTTTTGTACCAAAAATGTTTAAAAGAGAAGGAGAAACCTTAAAAAAAAAAGAACGAAAGAAAGATGATAGATGACTACTTTTGAAATGTGATTTGACTTAGACTTCTAGATAAAAAGAGAACTCCGGCTTTCTGGATGTGTGTGTGTGTATGCATGTGTGGTATGTATATAAATGTGTGTGTGTGTGTGTGGCACATAGATACACACAAACACACATATAAAAATTCGTTTTTCACATTTAGGGGGGGAGTATGTGTCTTCATATTATTTGCTGAACCCTTTTCAAAAGAGTAAACAGTTCAGAAAAGTGATCTAGATGTTGATAAATAACATCATATATAAAGTTTATTGTCATTGTACGTATATACACAGTATACCCATACAACGAAATTCACATAACACCCAGAGACCAAGCCCAACACACATGACAATCCCCAGACACCGCACCCACCAAAATTCCCCACCCCTAAACCACCCAAACATCCACACAACAGACCAAGTAATGCTGTCCAACAGCTCACAATCAGTGGCCCTTTAGTTCATTGTTGAGTGCAATTGTAGCTCTGGGATAAAAACTATTCAGAAGACGTGTGGTCCAAGTTTTAATTGTCCCGTATCTTCTGCCAGAAGACAACAGTCCAAAAAGATTGTAAGTAGGATGGGAAGAGTCTCTGAGAATGTTGTCATGCCAATTACTCAAATTACCTGAAGGGATTACAAGGGATTATTTAAAATATTTAAAACAATCACCATTACCTAATAGAACACATTAATAACACAGGGGTAAAATATGAAAATGAAAGTATCGAAAAGCCGATATCCCAATTTAAGGGCAGGCATTTAAAATCAAAATCAAAACTAAAATAAACATTAAAATTAAAATCAAAATTAAAAACCAATTCTGGAAAATTGTAAATTAAGTTAAATTGTGTATTCAAATTAACTTAATTCAAATAAAGTTTCAGTGCCACTGATAGGACTGGGTCATAATAAGATGCATTTCTGAGCTCCTACAGCTTGGAGAACATTTGTGTCAAAAGATATTTGCACATCAAAGTTTTGAAACGCTTGGGGATCATCTCTAGTCCCAATGTATCTCCCATTTATCTTTGTTTTGGGAAGCCACAATTTTTTTTTGTCTTGGCTTCAGTTTATTGGAAAGTGCAACAACACTGGCATTTTTTTTTTAAAACCACAGGCTGGGGGAACAGTCCATTTTTCCTACTGCAACCAGATTGTGCTCTCTGTACAGACTCTGCATTTCAAGGTCAACAGAAGTCAAGGAAACAGAGAGTTATTTTCAAACTGCGTTGAGGATAGAAAGTCAGGTGGAAGGGAAGTGCCCTCTGGAGGATTTTTCAGAAGTCTATACTTCCGCAATCTATTTAGATATGCAGTAAAACCCTAGGAGGCGGTGCTCATCTCTGTTTCTTAGCTAAGGGAGCCAATATTGTCCGAGGATGCTTCCGTGGTCATGTGGCCAGCATGGCTATACACCGAGATGCACAGAACACTGTTACCTTCCCACTGAAGTGGTACCTATTTATCTACTCACATTTGCATGCTTTTGAACTGCTAGGTGGGCAGGAGCTAACGGGAGCTCACCCCATTGTATGGCATTCGGGTCTTGAACCCAGGCTGTCAGCTTTTCAGTGTCTTTAACTGCCGAGCCACCACGCCACCTCCCAAAAAAATACAATTATTCAATTAATTTTCTTCTGGTTCCTTTTCCAGGAAAAACACAAGGAATTTTTGCAGCACCATCCAGGCCCAACTGCAATTCATCTCATGGTTAAGCCTTTATGTCAATAGCTCTTGGTTTACCATTGTATTGATATGACTAAGCAAAATGGTCAGGCCCATTGCTCGCAGTGATAATAAATAATGTGCATTATTGCCACCTGGCTGGTTTTAACCTTGTATGTGTGTGTCCAATCTATTTTTGAAGCCTCCAGGACGGCTTTATTTTTAGTTCAGGTTCACAGCAAGCCAATGAGGAAGTTAAATTTACTGTCTGTTTGTGTGTGCAGGCATGCATGCGCCTACACACCCTATAATGTTCACTTGATTGCTCAGCTGGCCTGCAAATGTAGCTCTTCAGAAGGTTTCCTTACAACTGAGCCACTCCTCCATGGGCAATGATGCAACGGTGATAACCCTGGAAGTCGGTTTTTATAGCTGAAGGACATCCAGGTTTGGAGGACATAAGGCACTCTTTTAGAAGATGCTGTCCATGATTTTTTTTCCCAAGTTTTTATTTTATTTTATATTATTTATACATATCGATGCGTGAATGGTGTGATACCCGAGTTTCATACATTTCAATAAAAATAAACATAATATTATTACGCACAATTATTACATTTCATTTTCATTGTTTCCTATTATTTGCACATATCCTTTACTTCAGTTCTAAACCTTCTTCTTACTCTTTGTATATCTTAATATATTGGAATATATATATACTGTAATTCCCCTCTTATTTCTATCTATTTTAGCTTTCCCCCCTCCTGTCACTATAATATTCAAAGACGTGATAATAACATTTCTTTTCTGTTCCCTACTATTACCGCACATATTTTTCTTACAATACATTCTTTCATTTTCTACTCTCCCATTATTTAATTCTGGCATATTTTTATACTTATTTAATAATACTATCATTCAAATTCTAATTTTCCAATTAAAAACTTAATTCTTCTTAATTCTTAATTCTTCTTCATACCAGATGCTATCCATTATTTTGTGTATACAAGAAAATAATGCCTCTACCACAAGGAACCGAAAATATGTATTTCAGCAACTTGGCTAAAACTCCTCAAATCTGGAGAGTCAATGCTTTATTGGTAGAAGTACTTAGGACCAGGGGTGGGTTCTACTTACCTTTACTACTAGTTCGCAATAGGGCCCTGCGCGTGCGCACTCTTCTGCACGAGTGCAGAAGCTTCTGCACATGCGCAGAAGCGTTTTGATGACGTCAGGGTCAGTGGGCGGAGCCTCTTGCCAGTTTTACTACCGGTTCTATAGAACCAGTGCGAACCAGGGGCAACCCACCACTGCTTAGGACCCCTCTGTTTCTGTCTCCTTCCAAAGGCAATTATTATTCTGTTAAACATTGTATTAAAAAAGGAGAATATTTGTAGCTCAGGGTTGAAATGAGGGGTCTTTGGTGCTCTCTGAGCTTGCTTGTTTTCATGCAAATGTTTCATTACCCAAACTAGGTAACATCATCAATGCTAATAAGGAGTGCTGTTTGCCAGGCAAGAAACCAGAATGTAAACTGACAGCAAACTGCACTCCTTACTAGCACTGTTGATGTTGCTTAGTTAGGGTTAGGGTCAGTGGTGGGATTCAGCCAGTTCACACTTATTCAGTAGAACCGGTTGTTAATTTTCTAAGCAATTCGGAGAACCAGTTCTTGGAAGAAATCTTATTTTGTTTTTTCCCCACTTTACAGGGCTAATCCTGTAAGGAAGGCAGGAAGGAAACATTCTGGTGGTGTTTCTAGCCTAATTTTTATTGCCCTGCTTATAGAAACTGCCTCTCTGATTAACCCTTATTACATTGTAACAGTAAGGTGAAGCACCATTGACGTGAGTGACATTGAGTTGGCCACACCCACACGGTCACATGACCACCAAGCCATGCCTACCCAGCTGGTCATTAGGGCAGAGAACCGGTTGTTAAATTATTTGAATCCCACCATTGGTTATGATAATGAAATATCTGCAAGAAAACAAGCAAGCTCAGAGAGCACCACACACACCTCAAACATTGTATTATTGTTCAGGCAGTTCCTGGGTTATGCAAGCCATGATTGGCAAAATCCCAACTTTAAGGAATGTACTTGCCATGAGATTTTTGGCATGCATGCAAGCATGCAATCCAGCATATATTAAAATCAGTTTTGGCAAGGATTCCTCAAACTGCCTGTAGACAGAATACAGCACCTTTACCAGAGAATTGACTGTCTCTGAATGGGTGAAAGAAATGCTACAGACTATGTGCCAATTGTGGTTGAAAATCCTTTGCACCCATTCATACTGCTGCCTCCCAAAAAATAATGAATGGAAACTAATCAAGGAGAGAAGCAACCTGGAATTAAGGAGAAACTTTCTAACAGTGAGAACAATTAAACAGCAGAACAGCTTGCTTTCAGAGGTTGTGGCTGCTTAGTCACTGGAAGTCTTGAAGAGACTTTAGTGAAGCGTGCAAACCATTATTTGCATTTCCTGCGTCGGATAAGGAGACCACATCTTTTTTCTTCTGTCCTGGCCACTTTTTGCAGAGGCACGATTGAGAGTGTTTTAACAAACTGCATCCCTGTTTGGTTTGGTGGCAGCAGTGCCTCAGATAGAAAGCCCATACAGAGAGTGGTGAGGACAGTGGAGAAGATTATAGGAAGCTCGCTTCCTGTTATTCAGGATACTGCTTATAAGCGCTATGTGCTTAGGGCTCGAAGCATTGTTAGAGACCAGACACACTCACTTCGTGGTCTGTTTCTGTTGCGCCCCTCTGGGATGAGGTTTTGAAGTATCAATAGCAGGATTACTAGATTCTGTGACAGCTTTGTTTCCTATGCCATCTGTCTTGTAAACTCGCAGGATTCTTTTTTTTTTCGCCATGTACATGTATACATTTGAACTAGACTGTGATGTTTCTCTGTGTCATACAGTATATGTGTGTACAGGTAGTCCTCAACTTACGAAACACAATTGAGCGCAAAATTTATGTTACTAAGTGAGAAATTTGTTAAGTGAGTTTTGCCCCATGTGAAGTGAATCTCTGTTGTTGTTAAATTTAAGTAACAGTTGTTAAGTGAATCTTATTTCCCCATTGACTTCGCTTGTTAGGTCGCAAAAGGTGATTATTTGAGTCCGGGACACTACGACTGTCTTAAATATGAGTCAGTTGCCAAGCCTTTGAATTTTGATCACATGATCATGAGGATGCTGCAATGGTCATAAATGCGAAAAACGATCATAAGTCACTTTTTTTCAATGCTGTTGTAACTTTGAATGATCACTAAATGAACTGTTGTAAGTTCGAGGACTACCTGTATGTGGGTATGTGCATAATGATTATCTTTTGAGAACTGAATACAAAGAAGTTTCATTTTAATGTAGTATACATTTAAAGTGACAATAATTTTTTTTTATTCTGTTCTAAGAGACTGGACAGCCACCTGTCTGAAATGGTATAGAGTAGTGGTAAAAAATTTTTACTACCGGTTCTGTGGGCATGGCTTGATAGGCGTGGTGTGGCTTGGTGAGCATGGCAGGGGAAGGATACTGCAAAAACTCCATTCCCACCCCATTCCAGGGGAAGGATACTGCAAAATCCCCATTCCCTCCCCACTCTGGGGCCAGCCAGAGGTGATATTTGGCGGTTCTCCGAACTACTCAAAATTTCCGCTACCGGTTCTCCAGAACCTGTCAGAACCTGCTGGATTTCACCCCTGGTATAGAGTCTCCTGCTTGAGAAGGGGGTTGGACCAGAAAACCTCCTAGGTCCCTCCCAGCTCTTTTCAGATTGATTAACCCTTGGTTTTCCTTTCCCCACTCCTCATCATCTCCATTGGAGACAGTTGTATGTTTACATTTTTCTGTCTCCCAGTCTAGATAGCTCCCATAATTTAGGCTGTGATTTCCCTACCACTCGCAGAATCCTGGAATTATGTCTGTCATATTGATGAATGAAAGACG